ATTAATAGCTCCTCCAAGTGGCTCTTAAAAGCTTCGGAAACACCGGAGAGATGACATTTGCTGTTATTTTCTCAAATAGTTCCTTTATTTACATTGTATTAATGAGAAAAGCCAAAAAAATTAGATTCTCTTTGTAGTTTTCTTTTTATTTATTTTTTAAATATATTTTATTGATTTTTTACAGAGAGGAAGGGAGAGGTATAGAGAGTTAGAAACATCGATCAGCAACAAACCTGCCCTTGGGCTGATTCTGTTTCGGAAGCAGATTTGCTATCTGGGACCCTTGAGGTACCTGGGCTGCTCTGGCCCTGGCCCTGGGACAGGAAGTGGGCACCGGAGGGGAGGGGCGGCGTAGGGGGGCGAGGGGGCATGGAGCTAACCGGCTAGCGCTGTAATTTTCTTTTTTTAGCGAGAGCTCTAAATTGCATTTCATAATACATATCTATTTAGAGACGGTCGATGCTCTGGTAGAGAATAATATAGACCAGTGGTTCTCAACCTTCGGGCCCTTTAAATACAGCTCCTCATGTGGTGACCCAACCATAACATTATTTTAGTGGCTACTTCATCACTGTCATGTTGCTACGGTGATGAACCATCATATAAATATCTGATCTGCAGGATGGTCTTAGGGGACCCCTGTGAAAGGGTCGTTCGGCCACCAAAGGGGTCGCGACCCACAGGTTGAGAACCGCTGGTCTTGATCATAGTGATTCCCAGAACGCGAACATACGCAGGATAAAAACTGCTTAATCACGGAAAGAGAAATGATACAAGCAAGTGGCTACCGAAACGTGTGGCTCCACGTCCCATGGAATGTCTCCTTTCTGCTTTTTGGAGAGAAGACGGAACCCATGGGGCAATATTTAAAACTAATAACAAGGAACCATAGCGAGGCCATGCCGTCTCCTCTCCACCCTGAATTGTGCCAACATAAATACCCACGTCGGCGGCGACATCCTAATCACTCCAACCATCCTCAGCAGTCCCCGTAGTGTGCGATTTCACCTTCCTCTTCCTGGGGAGCTTTCTGGAAACCACTGCCACGGCTGCCACGCTCGGCCACGCCAACGCCTGCTCCGGCCAGGACCACCTCGGCGGCCTTTGATGTCTGCTCTGGCCTGGGCAACCTCGACAGCCTCCACTCAGGCCACTTCCCAGTCTGTCCTCCAGAGCAGCCAGAGTGATCCCGTCAACACAGAAGTCAGATCCCAGGCTCCTGTTCCTCCTCCCCGTCCTCCTCCTCCTCTGTGTACCAGGCTCCCGCCCTGGACAGCTCTCAGGAAGGCCCTCAGGTGCTGCCGGTGGACAGCCCACCATGCTGACCTGGCCCACGCTCTCCACTCCCACCTCGACTCCACCCTCTCCCAGGCTCAGCTCCCTCTGCCTGCATCTCGGCACATGCCTCCTCCTGGTCCAGTGGTCGGCAAACTGCGGCTCGCGAGCCACATGTGGCTCTTTGGCCCCTTGAGTGTGGCACCCACGAAGTTTCAATCGCACTGTATGTGCGCGCCCGCACGTGGTATTTTGTGGAAGAGCCACACTCGAGGGGTCTCAGTTTGCCGACCACTGGTCCAGGTCTCCACCTGTGTGACATCTTCAGAGTCGTTTGCCTTGAGCTCCATCCTGCACCCACCACTCTGCCCCTCACCACGCTCTATTCTCTATTTTTTCCCAAATTTTTTTTATTTTTATTGATTTCAGAGAGGAAGGGAGAGGGAGAGAGAGAGGGAAACATCAATGATGAGCGAATCATTGATGGGCTGCCTCTTGTACACACCCCTTACTGGGGACTGAGCCCGCAACTGGGTATGTGCCCCGACCTGGAATTGAACCCTGACCTCCAGGTTCATAGGTCGATGCTGAAACACTGAGTCACGCTGGCCGGGCACGGCCTAGCATATTTTAATGACATAAATGATACTTAACACTTGCTAATTGGGCTCAACGGGCAATCTCTCTCTCTCTCTGTTAGAAAAGGGACAGAAGGGCTTGTACCGTCACAATATCTGGGCTATTGTTTCAACATAAACATGATCTCAGGCGAGAGGAGACCACTGGAAAGGACCAAGGAGAAAAGAGGAAAGAACATCTGTCAAGAGCCGCATCTCCCTCCGACAAATCTAAACATTTGTTTGAAGCAACGGCTTCCCCTCACTTGGCTCCAAGGAGTCTTACACTGATTCTTCGTTACCCGAGTGGACTACAGAGCGAAAAAGAAAAAAATCCAATATTGGTTTTCAAAACCTTGTTGACACTCTCATGAACTCCCTCCCACCATGAGCAAACAACCAATAAGGTCAAGCAAAACATTCTGTAATAGAACAAGAAGTGACGGCCGCCCCGCACACAAGAAAGCACCCAAGTATCTGTACCGATTCCTTGACCAAGAGGCACCAGTGTCCCCACAGCATAAGCCAGGTCGCAGGCACTGTGATTTCCACATCCGCGGCCCTATTCAAAATGTCCCTGTCGCAGTCATTCAAGAGCTGTAATAATGGCCACATTGTACCAAACGTTTGGCCTGGCGAGTGGCCGAGCCACGCAGGTCTTCTTAAAAGTGCAGAAATTTAACACACAGGCAACCCTGCCCGACAATTCTAGAAATTAAAATGCTCCGGGAAGTCTGGCGATTCGTTTTGACAGCAAAAAAAAAAAGACTTTCAGAAACGAAGCTGCAGCAGGTAATCACCCTCAAATGACATCATACCGACCAGGGACCCAGAAGGAGATGGCTGCCCTGTTCAAGCTGTTCCACTGTCCATAAAAATTATTTCACCGCAGTCATTATTCCAGAGGGTCATGTTATTTCTTTTTACTATTTAATAGTATTAGTTCTTTAAACGCTTTTCATTTAGCCCCAGCCGGTGTGGCTCAGTGGTTGAGCATCAGCCTATGATCCAGGAGGTCAGGGCACATGCCCGGGTGGCGGGCTCCATCCCCAGTGCGTGGCGCGCTGGAGGCAGCCGATCCATGATTCTCGCTCATCACTGATGTTTCTCTCTCTCTCTCTCTCTCCCTCTCTCTCTCTCTCTCTCTCCCCCTCTCCCTTCCTCTCTGAAATCAATAAAAACATATTTTAAAAATAAATCTCAACAAAAAATATGTACGGTGTCTACGATATACGGGCCAAAGGAAAGTAATTCTGGCACCCTTCATGCGGCCTCTGTCATTCTCTGATACATACAACCACCGGGGCCACTTTCTCTGCCCTATTCTGTTAGTCTTTGCTCTCGTCACTTAAGCAATCTAAACTACAAGATTGGGGGTGGGGTGGGAGTGGGAGTCATAAAATAAAACCTAAAAGAAATAATTATTCGATGCTTACATGTAGCCACCCACCCTGGAATTACGTATAACTCCCAGCCACCCACCCTGGAATTACGTATAACTCCCATCATCCAAATGCCAAGTAGTCGTTTTCAAGGAAATTGCAGGGCTGGAGGATTTTGAATGGGGGAAATATCTACGCACACATACAACACGTGTGTTGTTTCTCCTTGCCCTCTTCCTTCCGCAGCTTGGAGGAGGACAGTGTTTCCAGTCGAGTTAGCTCCTGTCCTAGCAGGTTTTACGAGGTTGGGACGCACGCAGCCGTGGCCGGCCAATGCCAGTTCTGACTGTATCTTCTAATCTGTTCTAAGATTTCATCTCATCCTAAGAATATTGAGTAATTTCCCATCTTGAAGAACCAACTGAAGACAGCAACTCTAGTTGCTTTTTTTTTTTTTTTTAGGTAATCCTCACCTGAGGATATTTTTCCATTGAATTTGAGAGAGAGTGGAAGGGAAGGGTAGGGACAGACAGAGAAGCATCGATGTGAGATCGACACACGGATTGGTTGCCTTCCGCATGCACCTCGACCAGGGCCAGGGATCAAGCTTGCAACCAAGCTTGACCGGAATCGAACCTGGGACCCTTCAGTCCGCAGGCCGACGCTCTAGCCACCGAGCCAAACCGGCGAGAGCTATTAGCTCTTCTAGATGGTGAAACAGAATCGAATTTGTGTTCAGTTCAACTGCCAGTTCTTCATGGGCATCGGGAAACTGGACCGAGATTTGGAAAGAAAATCACACAGGCCAAGTCTTCAGCATGTCCAGCCGCTGCGCAAGGACAACCAACTCGCCCGTCATCAACCCACACACGCACTGTGCACCGTGGGGCAAACTGGTGTTTCTTGTAAGACTATTCCCCGACACTCAAAGCAACCCACCCAGTAAGAAAACCACACTTCACGTGCAGAGGCGGCCGAGGAAAACCTGGAAACTTCCGAGGCCAGAAGGCATTTCACGTGGGAGAAGAGCCACCGCAATGCCTATTTGGGAAACTGAGGGAAGGGGCAGTTCCATGAAGGCCGCTGGGCCAGACAGAGGGCCAAGGTTCTGCATGATCCCAGGAAGGCCTCAGATTGCAAAGTTCTGCCCAAATGAACGAACCACCCTTGTACTTAAAGGCCAAACAGCACCATGAAGTTTCTAGAAGATGCTGATATGCTACACGTGATACGTGTGCAAGCAAGTCTCACCCGCATTTTTACTTAAAAAAATACATTTTTTTATTATTATTGATTTTAGAGAGGAAGGGAGAGGGAGAGGGAGAGATAGAAACATCAATGATGAGAGAGAATCATGGATCGCCTGCCTCCTGCACGCCCCACACTGGGGATCCAGCCTGCAACCCCGGGCCTGTGCCCTGACTGGGAATTGAACTGTGACCTCCTGGTTCATAGGTGGATGTTCAACCACTGAGCCACGCCGGCCGGGCTGGTGCGCATTTTGAAAAAGGCACCCAAAGCAGGTCACCTAAGGTCTGTCTACCTGGAAGCCCTGCCCCGGAGGTACTGCGGGCAGCCACGCTTCGCCTCTCCTCGCTCCCCCCGCCCCCTCCACCTGGCACTGGGCCGGGGGAGGCCCGCCCAGCTCGGGCACGGGGGTGGGCCGCGCGGGGCGGGGCCTCTGGACCCCGTCCTCCCCCCACCCCCAAACCGCCCAGTCACTCACTGTTGCTGGACTTAAGGTCGCGGTGCAGGATGGGCACCACGGCCTC